AGTATTCCAGTATTCCAGTGTGGTTGTATTGTAGAGCATTTTCTTTTTTGTTTGTTGTTAAATCTTTTCGAAAAACTGTCATGAAATGCGAAGTTCTAATTAAAATTCAAGCACTTTGGATTGACATTGACAAAAAATTTTAGAAAGAGCATATTGAAAAACAGTATTTCTTACTGAATGCTGTTGTGTCAACTCTTGTGAGTATAGTACTCGCATTTCGAAAAGAAATAAAACATTGTGGTTTCATAAAACTCATCCTTAAGATAAAAAAAACCTTTTTTGTTATTATTTACCTGGAGACGGGAAACTGATATAATATTATCGGTCCATGAGTTGTAAAGCCCGTTTATGGATGTTAAAGGTAGAGAACAAAAGCCCTCCTGACAAAACAGTTACAATTCCACCGCATCAAGCTGTGTACGAAGACTTTAACAAAGCGCTCTTCTTGATCGAATAATGGGATATAAAATACGTTCCGAGTCGTTTCGCTCTTACGACAGTATTCCTCAATTAGAGGCGTTTGCGACGCACGGGCAGGAGACAGACCAGGAATAGCCTTTTACGAGCAAGAGAGCAGCCGAAGACGGCCTTTACGGCGTTTGGCGCGGTTGCGGTTTTGGTCGTGCTGCGGTGACGTTATGTGGCCTGGACGCATCCTCCATCGCGAACCTGTTTCCGAACTCCCTTTAAATTTCTAATGTCTTTCCTCTCCTTCCGTTTCCTAGGGCTTCATTTTGATGAATTAACGTTGCATTAAGAATGGAGGAGAATGAGAAGTTAGTACCAGAACCATTCCGGTATTCCTGTGAAACGTTAGTTCTGGCTCTGGCTGGTTCCGGTTCAGTTTCCGGTTCTGGCACTGACTCTGGCACTGGCACTGGCTCTGGCACTGGCTCTGGTTCTGGCTCTGGCTCTCGCTTTCGTTCTCGTTCTCGCTCTCGTACTTGCTCTTGTCGAACTTGTCGGTCTTGTTTCTTTTTCATTTTCTAGTAGTCAGTTTTCATTGGTCAGTATACAACATTTTCTGAAAAATATCCTACTATCCTTCGTATTTTAAAAAAGAAGTTCTTTAAGTTAGAATAGTTCGCTGAATTGATGTAGTACACGATTTTATGGTTAAAAGTACGCTAGAAATAATGCAGATTAATAGGGAGGTGAAATTACTAATGTTTTGATCAACTCATTGTCGTAATTAAATGTTGCGGACTGATGATCATTAAATATTTTGAGCTATTTGTATTTTCGTTTTACATTTAATTAATTACCACGATTCAGCGGAAGACAACCGGTTTTTCCGGACCGAGGCGAAGTACTTGCTGCAGCCAAGAAATTTAAGCTTCAACCTGCCCACTTTTTTGTGACCTTCCTTGAAGTTGTTCTGCTGTCTCGCGTCCAATGTCATCACCTCACACGTGAAAAAATTCAATTTTCGATGGTTTTTTCTTCTTCGGGAATAAACTTGCCGTAACTTGGTTGGAATTGGGTATACCCTACATGAATCCGATTAATATACTAGACGTTCGTGTGAAAAATCCCATCACACAACCCGTGCGCCGTGATTTACATCTCTGATCTGTGTATTTGAATTAAAAATATTACATTTAATGTACAAAGAATAAACGAACGTTTAAAAATATGAAGATCAAGTTATGGGAGTTGCATTCGCCTCAGGCTCCTGCATTTCGATGTCTTGGGCGGAAGTAAAGGGAGAGCAACGTAGAATCGTAGCAATCGCGAGCGAGGTGTCTTACGCCTTATGATCTTCCTTTTGTTAGCAGGCAATCACACCGTTGGCTACACTGTATGCGTGAAGGCAGTAGTGATCATGACGAATGAACAATAAAGGTTACATTATTATGAATGTGGTGATTCAAATGGGAGTCGTGATGGTGTGGGAAGCCAACCACGCTGAAACCTGTTACAGAAATGGGTAATGTCCTACACGAAAGTCGGTCCCACAGCCTTTGGCTGCAACGCACTTGAATACTCCGCCTTGCTCCTGGTAGTCTCGGAAGTCAATTTATATTTACTGTTCAAGATTATTGATAGCATGTTCATTTATGTTCATTTATTTATTTAAAATCAAAAAACAGTTTAAAATCTGTGTGTTACCGCAGAAGTACAATCTAGGCACGTTTCCTTGATATCTAGGATCCTTAGGCTAACACATATGCATATTAAGATGAATTAAGAAAAGATGAAGACGAGCGCTTTTGGGAAGATTTGGCTACAAGAAATATTCACCAATGTGTAATAAATACTATTTGCAAATGTAAATCAACCACTCATTTTGGCTGTAATCCTTGATCGTATCTTTCCTTCGTCAAGGAATTGACTTACTGCCACGTGAACATAGAGAACGATTATTTGAATGGCTATATTTCCCATTGAGCTCTGAGATTGTATTCTCCCAAATGCCTCACATACAATTTTTACTGTCCTTGGACGAAAAATACATAAATAAATAAAAACAAATCTCAGAAAAAACGTTCATAGGCGTGTAAAGCAGACATGCAATGACGTCTCACTTCTCCTCTGTTTCCATTTTCGATCTGGTCGAACATTCGAAAACATCGTTCAAAGGAGAAAAAGCCCCCTTGTTCGCAAAAATAACTTCATCTTTGATTTCTCATCGCAGAAACGCTGCATGGCACCCTCCGGGCCGCTTTTGTGTGATCTCGCGGTTTAAAAAGATGCGTATCTGACGTCAATAGCACGAGGCGCGGCTGCTCCTGAAAATTTGAATGCCAGCACCGGTTGCGGGTCTGGGTTGAGAAGCGGTGTCTTGTTTCTTTCAGGCGCACGTTGTCACCGAAGGACGCGAACGTGATCAAAACTTTAAAATGGCTTCGTGATCAATTTTTCTGTCAGAAATGTTCTCATTATTTTAATGTAAACGACATTGAAGTAATTATCATAAACGTACATTAAATTTAATGTGAACATGACCATTCCCATGCTAGAGTCAAAGCTTTACGGTCATATCTGGAATGAATGATCTTGATGAACTGATGATTATGAAAATACGATATGGATGAGGATGGGTAGGGGAAACGGGAGAACCACTATATTAAATCTACACTGATTTTACTTGTGCAGTAAATTTAATGTACCCATATATTAAGCTCTTTTTAATGTACAAGGTTACATTTCGTTTCATGTACAATACATTAACCTAAATTAGATTTAATGACATGTCTGAATGTACCAACTCCTTTGATGTCGCTAAATATGAATAGTCGGTTTTCTTCATGATCTACACGTGTGCTGTAGTTAGACCGTTTACCTTCCTCTTCTAGGAACCGCTGCTCACATCTCGGTGGATTAGTGCCGGAGTTATAGACGATAAAGAAAGATTGTCGGCAAGTTTACTCGGGGTTCTCTTCTTTCTCCTGCGTGTAATTTCATTTCATTTCATCGTCATTGAAGACACCGGTATAGCCGGCCTAGATAGTCGAGGTCGCTAAGGCTGAAGAGCCGTAGCTGCCTCGGCTCGAAGGGCCGCGGGTTCGTTTCCCGAGACCATCATGGATGTTTGTATCTGTTCGTGTTGTTCCTACATGTGGCTCTGCAGGTCCCCCTAGAGTTAAAAAATTACAGTGGTCGCTATATGGCCAAGTTGTTAAAAAGCGACCTGAAAAATTAATAATACTATTAAAATTCATTCATAAATATCATTAACACCCATCTATCATCTCAGATATTATCAACATATATTTTCATCATAATAAATGAGAACTCATTTATTTTAATAAAAATATAGAACCACTATTTAATCCTCTTAAAACCAAAAGCAAATCGTTTACTTTTAAAAACGTAACAGAAATTTAAATGTTTTACGAGCATAAATACTTCATGAGCATTATTTAAGGCCCTTCACTGTCTTGAATATAATGTATATTATTATTATTATCATTATTATTATTATTATTATTATTATTATTAAGAACAATAACAACAGCAACAACTTCATTATTTGCGAGATCTTCTTTCCGTGGGACCACTAACACTACGTAGATTAACGATCATACAACAAATGTAACAACTCTATAAAGTGTTGCTCGAAATTAGTTAAAACATTTTTTTTTTGGTTTCGGCCACGTTTGCGCCATTTGGACACAGTGCGGCAGGCGAGTGCGCATATTACGGGGATG